GGCAAAAGAGCGAGGGATAGAGAAAGGATGAGTTTGTAAGCAGGAGCTAGGGTGGGAAAAGAGGAGATGATGAAAGAGGTTTAGACATGTTTAAAGTATTTGTTAAATATGCAGATGAGGCTTAAGGGCATTGGGGGTGTGAGATATAACTGGTAGTTGGAACCTTGGGAGTAAATAAGATTTCTTGCACCAAATGCACAGCTTATCACTACAAAGAGGCTGAAAATGTTTAATTAATTTATCTGGAATTCAAACTTATAGTTACATATTCATATTAGCCTGTATAGACTCCAGCATAAGAAGTACTTTTTCTTGGTACCTGGTTTTTGGCATCTGACAAGTAGGAAAATTGAAAAACAAAAACAAAACCCATAAGAGGTAGGACCCCAGCTCAGGATACTCCCCTACACCCAGGGCAGACCTCTTGGGAATAGAAGCCAGAGAGAGGGTATCTCCAGGTCAAATCTCAGACCTGAATCAAATTGCCAGCCCCACAGGGGACTGGCAATCCTAGTCCCCACCCAAATTAGCTACCAGCGCTGAGGAGCCTGATCTGTGGGGGTTCTATGAGAGGTATTTTTTTTAAGTTGGATGGATAGCAGCATCACAGTTTCAGATTTGGATCAGTCATGCATGAAGAGTATAGGAAACAATACCCAACCCTCAGGAGAAGGGGCTGGTGTCAGGGTTCCAGGCAAGCAGGCTAGAGAGTTCAGGGCAAGGGTTCAGACCCAGTAGAGCAACTGGATTGCAAATCAGTATACCAAGGTGGAAAAACAGTCTTCAAATAAACAGGTTGAGAGGAAGGGATGCTGCCCAGTGGTTATAGGAAACCTAGGCACTCACCAGCGTTCCAGGGTTAGGGCCAGAAGAGCAATTCTAGACCCTGCCCTCCAGTGGGAATGGGGGTCCTGATAAGGTTGGTCAGGGCAGTTTGAGGACTGGATGGCATTCATCTTACAGTTTGAAACTTATAGTGCGAAAGCAGGGATTGACATTTTTACTTTTATCTCTAACACTTCACTCTGTGGTCCTCAAAGATCCAATAAACTGACATTTACTTGGGATTCTAGTCTTGTCTTCTCCAGATCTACCCTTGGAGTCCCATTGTGCCTGTACATGCATACATGTGTATGTATGTGTGCACACACACTCACAGGGTTACTCTCTACTTCTGAGTTCCAGGAGGTACATAAGTGATGTGCAGTGATGAGCAGACCCAGGCACTGTCACTGTTGAACTCCTAATGACATATTCTAGCACTCTTGTGCAGTTTTTGCCCTGTACACATTCGGCATCTCACACCTTGATCTCTGTGCTTGCATAGCTCTAGGTTTGTAGCTTCACAGAAGTTAGCACACTGCTCTTGATAGCAATGCTAGCAAATACATTTTTTGAATGCTCACTATATACCAAGTATTATTCTAAATACTTAGGATACAATCTCACTTAACCCTCAAACAACTCCATAACATAGTTATTATTATTCCGGTTTTGCCAGTGAGGACACTGAAAGTCATCAGAGTTGAGTAATTTGCCTGAGGTTATGTAGAGCCTGGATTCTTACTTAGGATTGACTACAAAATCCATGCCTTTAAGTATCATGCTACGAAAAGGGAGATTTTTCTGAGAATGTATTTTTTATTCTTGGGAGCATGAGTTTATGTTTATGTCATCGAATCTGAGCATTGACCAACCTCTCTTAATAATTTAAGAGAGTTCAGTGGCTTGCTCAAGTGGTTAATCTTATTAACAGAGAACAGAGCTTAGAAGGAGATTATTCTTGGTAGTCATCGAATCAACAAAACCAAAACTTAACTTTCTCTCTAAAAAAATAAATAAATCTCACTACACTTTTGTATAGCACCCACCTGCATGATGAAATTGTCTGTACACCAAACCCCTGCAACATACGATTTACCCATGTAGCAGACCTGCACATGTGCACCTTGAACCTAAAACAAAAATTGGAAAGGAAAAAAAAGAAAGAAACGCTAGGAAATTTGATTCAGTGCCAAAATAGCAGCAGAGCAGAAAGGTGGTGTGGTCAAGCACACAGCGTTGTATGGGAATGGTGCCTGTGAGTCGTTATCCAGCCTCAACCACTGATAATTGAAGTCATTTCACCTCTCTCATCCCATTTTTATTACCTGAAAAATGGGGTGTAATTAAGGATTTGAAGGATAATTATAAGGTTAAAAAATTAATGCACTAGAATTTAAGGAGAAACTATAAAGAAAGTGATTTTTCTATCCAGCTGTGTAAGTGAGGGAGATATAGTGTGGAATTGTGATGTGGAATTAGCTACATCAACATTTAGGGATGGTGAAGGGAAGCACGGAAACTAGGGTTCTTCAGTGAGCTTCCAGATGGAATTGCTTGCTTTTTGGTGGGGCTGATATACGCAATCTTTATGTAATCAAGCCTGGTGGTGATGGATGGTCATCAAGATTCAGGATGGGAGGTGAGGGGAAAGGTTAGCAAGGTGAGGGAGAATTAGCATTTGAGAACTACTCTTTACTGGTCACAGTGCTCTTCTACTGAGTCTCCTCTGGGAAGGTGCCCAATGAAAGAACGTTTGTTAACAAGACTGAGAGTAAGCATTATGATGCTCATTCTATAGATGAGGAAAAGGAGTCTAAGATTGCTCAAGAAACCATCCCTAGTACATGGCCAGATGAGATTCAAAGCCATTCCTATTTGATGCCAACACTGTTTTCCTAGACTTCTGACTTATTTAAGTAGTTTACTCTGTAAAGTCCTAGAAATTCCCATATTAATAGCCATTTTCTTGCTCATCCATTTCTTCATTTATTCTGTAGGTGGCTACTGAGCACAGGGTAGGTCCAAAATGCTTTGAGATTCAATAAATCTCAAATACGCTGTTGAATTCACTCCCAGGTTTTACAGAGTTCAGAAACCCCTTTCCCCAATAGGAATTAGGACCTACTTTTTCATTGTTCCTTTAATTGAATAGAGACATTGGTCTGGATGTCAGAAGATATGAGTACAAATATGTATCTTGCCCTTGTCAAGAGTCCTTCAGTAAAGAGGCATATTCATAAATAAGTTTATGCTTTAGCTGTGGGAGTGAGTTGGCTTTGCAGGATGTCATTGTGAACATTGGCACTAATCAAGGACAGGACTCCATGGAAAGTAGTCCTTTTTGCATGTCTCTGCCCCAAGCTACTTGAAGCTGACTTGGCAGTCTCCTGGATTCAGTTCAGAACCTCTTTATCATATCTTCATATTTGTTTTTTCTGCCTCTCATCATAATTCTATTTCTGTTTCTAACCTCACATCAAGTTAGAAGCTCTTGACTCTCTCATTCAACTGAGGAAGTTATGTTCCCTTTGTTTGGAATTTCTAGATCTTATCATTTGAGTTCATGTGGGACCTTTGCTTCTCAAACATACCCCTGGTCTCTCATTCACTGAAATTTCTCATTCTTTCTTGGTCACCAAGCCTCAGGTTGGATCTTTTTACCACCTAAACTTCTCATCTGCTTTTTGGCCCCCCCTTTTTTTCCTTCTTTTGATTACCCTTCAAAGCTTTTGAATTTAGTCTATAGTATTTGATCTGAAATCCTCCATTTCTCTCAAAGACTTCTTTTCCTCTTCATCTCTGTCCCCTTTGCTGGGTCACCAGCTGGAAGGGAAGTCACTTCCTCCTGAAGTGATACTTCCTGGCTTCATTGTCATTATTTATCAAATATTTGTTGAGTACCTATGGGCTTCACAAGCCAGGGCAGCAAGGTAAGATGCCTTCCATACCTAATAAGTCTGACAGGCCTGATAAGCATGAAAAGAAATACTTGAAAGACTGTTAGAGTAAATTCCAGAAGAAAATGCTGGGTGTACTGACAGCACAAAGGAGGATGCTATAAACTTACTGGTCAGAGAAAGCTTTACAAGAAGTCCTTGAACTGGATTTTGAAAGATGCAAAAGAGTTGCCCAAGCAAAGAAGTGAGGAAAAAGCATCCCAGAAACAGGACACATCATGTGCAAGGATGTAGAGGTGTGAAACAGGATATCCCACTGGGCAAGCTTAGTAGTTGTTTGGTATTCTTGGAGCTTGGCACTCAAATAGAGGTGCTTCAAGAGGTAAGAGGTGAAGCTGAGAAGGTAAGAGGAACTAGATGACGGAATACCTTGCCAAGGACTTGGGGTTTTATCCTGAAGGCTATGGAGGATGAGTGAAAAGTCTTAAGAAAGAAAGCCATAACAATCAGTTTAGAAAGATCATCTGAACTGTAGCAAGAAGAGTATACTGTGTGTTGACAGAATGAAGGCAGGGAGACCAAACAAGAGATTATTGTAGTGTTACAAGGAGGAAATGAAGGGGGTCTAAGCAAAGGCAATGGTAATGGGATTAAAGAGAAGGGAAGAACATCTTAACATCTTAAAGATGTTAAGAGATAAGTTGACATGACTTAATGCCTGACTGGATATAGGGAGTGAGGTTGTATTAGTCTGCTCTCACACTGCCATAAAGAACTGTCCAAGACTGAGTAATTTATGAAGAAAAGAGGCTTAGTTGACTTACAGTTCCACAGGCTTAACAGGAAGCATGACTGGAGGCCTCAGGAAACTTACAATCATGATAGAAGGTGAAGGGGAAGTAAGCATCTTCTTTGCATGGCAGCAAGAGAGTGAAGGGGGAAGTGCCACACACTTTTAAACCATCATATCTCATGAGAACGCACTCACTATCAGAAGAACAACACAGGGGAAACCTGCCCCCATGATACAATCACCTCCCACCAGGCCCCTTTTCCAAGTTGACATGAGATTTGGGCAGGGACACAAATCCAAACCATATTAGAGGGCATATTTCTGCACAAGGCAACCAGATGGATATTAATGCCATTAATTGTAATGGTGAAGATGAGGTTGAGGGGACACAAGTTAAGGAAGTGAAGTGGAAAGGTATGACCATGTGGTAGAAGGGGAGGTCCAGGCTATGGACACTGTTTGGACATGTTTATTCTGTTTTGCAGCCATGGTCAAAGGCCTTCAGGTCACAGTGCCCGACAAGAAGAAGGTGGCCATGCTCTTCCAGCCCACTGTGCTTCGCTGCCACTTCTCTACATCCTCTCATCAGCCTGCAGTTGTGCAGTGGAAGTTCAAGTCCTACTGCCAGGATCGCATGGGAGAATCCTTGGGCATGTCCTCTACCCGGGCCCAATCTCTCAGCAAGAGAAACCTGGAGTGGGACCCCTACCTGGATTGTTTAGACAGCAGGAGGACTGTTCGAGTGGTAGCTTCAAAGCAGGGCTCGGCCATCACCCTGGGAGATTTCTACAGGGGCAGAGAGATCACGATTGTTCATGGTAATAATGCCCCTGTTTTGAATCTAGGAAATGGGAGGGAGGTTAGTTTCATTCTTCCCTTCCCTTATGTCAATAAGGTGATATCCTAACCTCTCACCCTTTCAGACCCTCAAGACTGATTTTATTGGAAATGGGATCATCAAGAGACCTATTACGGGTTGGTGGGTTAAAGAGTTAGACCTATTACCTCTAACTGTTTAATGGGATGGGATGGTGAGGGGGGAAATGGTGGATGGTGTAAAATCTAGAGAAGACATACAGATGAACTTTGGAAACAGTCTTTCCAGAGCCCAGCATCAAGTCTCAGGAGCTTGTTTTTAGAGCTGAATTGAAATGGGTTGTAGGGAAAAAACTTTTTCCGTCAAACATCCTATACCTACCTTGACATCAGCCTTTAGGGTTCTTTCCCAAATGGAAAGCAGGTTTTTTGCTGGGGGAAGGGATATATGCATACAAATAACAGAGCCAGGTAGATGCTTGGCCCAAGCCCCAGGTGGCTCTGCATCAATTCTACCCTTTCTCTTGCTCTCTAAAGCTTTGGACATCAAAAGTTCCCAAGAGTCTGATATGACCTATTTGATTATTTGAATTTTGAAGAACACCTGTGATGTTAGCTTATTTCCAGGAGTTCAGAATAATTCTAGCATTTTTCTGGCTCTCAGGGGCCTCTGCAGGCCTGGTTCAAAGCCATCCCCTACTCCTGAAACTGGACCAGAACTAGACCGGTTTCCGGCAGGCTCTAATTGTCTTTCCTTAGAGATGCTAGTTTTTGTTATGGTTCTGTTGGTCTTGTTTGTTTGTTTTAAGGAAAGTACACCTCTTTCAATCACCATCCAGATAAAGAAAGAAAATACTGCAGACACTCCAGAGGGGTTCTCCCCTCCCAACCCCCATTGTTCAATGTTTTTCTTTCAGAGGACAGAGTTTTAGGACTGGGTCCTTCTTTTTGTGATAACAGATGCAGATCTTCAAATTGGAAAGCTCATGTGGGGAGACAGCGGACTCTATTACTGTATTATCACCACCCCGGATGATCTGGAGGGCAAAAATGAGGACTCAGTGGAACTGCTGGTGTTGGGTAAGTGAAAACCACAGGTGACATTTTCATCTTAGACCGCTTGCACTGTATCCTGTCCCTCTACTCACATGTCCCCTGTGTGCATTAGCAGGTTGCATACACAGTCTTTATCTCTCATGCACACACCCTTTTAGAATATGCTGTTTATGAGCAGTAGTTGTACATACTATGTCTTACTTCTTAAAAGCTATGACCACCCCCTTCCCCTGCTTTTATCATTGTCCTGAATATTTTTCTGCTATATTAGTTTTTTTCCCTCCTTTCCAGTTTCACCTTTAACCCTGATTTTTCTCTTTGTCTTTTTATATGCTAATTTTGAAGAAAATGCAAGAGGCCCTTGAAGCAAGCTAGAGCTTACATAGAGAGAAAAATTCACTGATGTGTCAGAACCTCCTGGAGACATCAGGAATCTTTTCCCCCTAGATTACCTCCATTAAGACAATCATAAGAAAAGATAGTGGTAAAGTGGAGAGTTTAGTAATAAAAGATACTCAATGAAAACAGCTGCTTGGGAGATGTACTAGTGTTTAATTGGAACGCAAATATCTTGAAACCTAAAAGTGTCCAAGTTATTCTCAAAGCAAATACATCTAATCCTTATTAATATTAATTTCCTCATAAATGAAAACTCATTACTTTTGGCTACTTTCCTTTTTTGTGGATTGGAGGAATGTCAGTGGGAGCTGACCTCTTTGTATGAAACTGAAAATTGAGCACATATTTTGTGCTCTATTAATGTTGTTTGAACAAGAAAATTAGAACATACAGAAATAAGAAAAGAAACTACATAATTGTAGGGAAAAAGGTAGTTCAGGATATATACCCAACATCATTTTTCAAAAGAAATTACACTTTTGTAGCTTCCAAGAAACCAGGTGATGGCAATTTGGAGGAATATGTTAGAGTACCTCCTATTAAAAGTAAGTGAAGTTGAAGGTTGATTTGTACCCTATGTAAAAATTATAGAAAAACTCAATTCCTAGGGAGAAAATGGCAGTTGCTGTTTATGATTTTTAGTTTTAGTCTTTATCATGATTGTGTGACTTTGGCAAAACAACAGTTCTGATGCCTTAGCATCATATTTTTTAGTTTTTATTGTTTTATTTTAAAAAATTATTTAATTTGATTTTATTTTTGAGACAGAGTCTTGCTCTGTTTCCCAGTGCAGTGGCTCAATTTCAGCTCACTGCAACTTCTGCCTCTCAGGCGTAAGTGATTCTCATGTCTCAGCCTCCTGAGTAGCTGGGACTACAGGTGTGTACCACCACGTCTTAGTAGAGACAGGGTTTTGCTATGTTGGCCAGGCCAATCTCAAACTTCTGTCCTCAAGTGATCTGCCCACCTTGGCTTCCCAAAAGTGCTGGGATTACAGGTGTGAGCCACCTCACCCAGCCGCATTATATTTTGTAAATTGGATTAAGGTAATAATGGTCTGCCTTATTAGAAGATTGACTTAATTCAAAAAAAGTCTTTGGGTCCAATATGTAAAGTGTAACTTGTGACTTATAGACGAATGGAAATATGACTGATATTTAGTAGGAAATGAAGGTAAAAGGCTTATATTGACATTGTAAAAGAACACAGGGAGATCAGATCTGGAATCTGCTGTAACCCTGTAAATCAGAAAGGAATAAAAAGACACATTTTTGATTAATCACACTCTAATAGTCAAGTTTGAAGGAACAAGTGGCTCATTGAGCCTGCAATTAGCTAATTGTGAACATAGTTATTTGGCCAGGGCAGCCATTTGCAGAGAAGTAATTGCCTGTGCAGGAAAAGGGGGCCAGGTAATAAACACTTTAAATAATTTGGTCCCAGTTGTTCTGCAAACATGGGGAAATGAATACAGTGAAAGCTTTGTCATCTGAGGATGTGTTGAAGCGTATGAAGGGCATTCTTCTGGATCAAAACATGCAGGGTAACTTGGGCAAAAATGCTATTCCCAAGGGAAAAAAGGGGCCAGCAGCTGAGAGGTGAGTAAAACAGAAGTTCAGATGACAGTGGTCACCAATTATGGAAGAAAAGATGAAGAACAAAAATCAGTATTACTTTAAAGGATTCGTAATGGAAGCTGTACAAGGCTGCAAATCCAAACTCATTGCAGTAGAAGCAGCCTGTCTGTGAAATAAACAGAAATGCTAGGGTTCTTGGGGAGGAAAAACACATCATTCTGTTATGTTCAACATTAATTAGAGGTGTTCAAAGCATGATAAATTTGTCATGGAAACTTTGTGGGACAACACGAGCTGTGTTATTTAAAGGGTTAGTTTGAAATCTACAAAAATTTTCTGAGTGCATAAAGCACTGTATTTACTTTCCAAATACAAAATTCTGAGTCTTTTTTTTATCTTCACACCCCTTTATACAATACTTCAAAATGCTGTCACAGTTTTAAATTTTCTTATGTTGGGATTATTTCATCCTGCTGGCCTATTTGTTAAGTATTCTTTTTATGTGAGAACAGGAGAGCAAGCTAATTTCTGAGGTCATTCTTAAGGCGATGAAGACCTCTGTGGGAAGATAACTGGGACCCACAGTTTGCTAATTATAATGTTCATGAACCACTGGCTCAGTCATTGAATTTTATATGAGGGTGATTGGAGGATTTGGTCTAGCAAAAGTGGACTTGGAACAGGGAGCATGAGAAGTGTCTCCAAATATTTGAAGTGAAATTATATAGAAGAGAGAATGGAAACATAACTCTGGTTATGTTTGGAATCAGGAGTGGAAGTTACAAAGGGAGGGAGTCTATCTCAGTGTTAAAGAAGAGCTGGAGACATCTAACATTAACAACTGGAGACATCTAAAGATGGAATAAGTGTTCTCAGAAGTGAGTTCCATATCCCTGGAGGTACTTATACACAGGAAAAGGTATTCAGAAATAAAGCTTTTGAGCTTTCTTTCTATTCTAAAGTTCTTGGTTTAAAAAGTAGATGAACATGATTGATGTGATTCCCTTGATGAATACGAAAATGATCTCCCAGGAAATCAATCCTCATGAAAGAGATAAAGGGAGTAACAGGTTGGTTACAAGAACATACAGGGTAATTGATGTCCATTCACAAGGAAGCCAGAAGGAATAAACTGTGGTCTTTTGCAGTATGTCAGGGCTAAGAGGACTAATCCCTGAAGAGTGAAGAAAAAAAACTATTGATGGTGGCTTGAAAGAGTCAACTGCTGTAGCTTTTCTTGGAGATCATCACAAAACGAGGAGCATAAAACTGGTTGGGATTACAGAAGATGAATTAGTAAGGAAAGATGGGTTAAAGATATAAATTAGAGGTAAAGTTAAGAAGAATGTGGATTCCTCATTATACTCACAAAGGTGAGGATGGAAAAGTTGACGGAGCAAGATTGTGAAGTGTCTTACATGCAAGACTAAGAAGTTTGGACTAGATTCTGAAGACTTAGGGGAACCAGTGAAGAAATCTTAACAGAGGAATCAGATTAGATCATAGGGTCAGAATAATTATTAGCAAGCAGGGTAGGTGAAGTTCCAGTTGACCCAGTTTGGTCAGTTGTCCCCTGCTTAGCCTTTTGAGACCAGGGGCTTTTCATGGTTAGTTTATTAAGACACAGAGAATAATTAATTCTCCCAAGTAAAGTAAGACACTGTTATATAAAACAAGAATAGATGTGGGATGCCAAAAAAGCAATATGTGTCTATCAGAGGATGCCATTACTACATCTACCACTAATACTAATGTACCCTGAAAATAAGTTGCAGTTTATAAAATTTTTCTGTAACAATCTTGTAAGGTAGGAGGGCAGGTATTATTTTCCAAATGAAAAAATTGATGTCTAGGTTTTATGACTAATATCCCAGTTTAAAAAGTGTCAATGATCAAACCCAAGTGTTTTGATTCTTCGCCTTGTCTCTTTCTGCAATACCACATGACCTGTCTGTATGAAGAAGCTATAGAATAGGCTATGTTAAAAAAAAAAAATGTGGTTGCTACTTGCTCCAGGTTTGCTTCAGTATTTCACTTTATTTCTTAGTGAAACTGCCCACAACCATTGACCGAAGCTCTGACTTCAAAGGCATAGTTGTTATTGTCTAGATTGCATTCCTTCCCACTGAGAATGACTCACACCTCCTTCCACACCATATATCTGAACCATCCACAAATCGCTATGGATGGCTTTTTCAGTGGTTTCAGAAATATCCAAAGACATGTGATTCACAGAAACAGGAGGACAACCACCGATTCAACATTAAACACAAAAACTATACTGAACACCCTTTAATGTCTTTTGATGATTCAGAAGGTAAAGTCATTGTGAAGTTGGAAATGCATATAGTGTTTTGGGGGCTTTGAGATGGCAGTGACAGGTACCTTAGAAATATTTAGACTGTCATTTGGGACCATAGGGCCATACCAGCAGTCACAGAAGGTGGGAGTGTTCAGAAATCTTCCATCCAAGATTATGCATTTGTCTAGGATCAGTGGTAAGGACAGGCTGTTTATCATCTGGAACCATGCCACTGTTTGGATAGGAATAAAGTTCCCTGGGGCATCTCCAGCTGGCAGGCAAAGGACTTCACCATTTCAGGAAGGTTCAAACAGGGAAGTTATTTTAAAATCTAAAAGCAGCTTGCCTTGTTCTTGTGTCTTTCGATGTACAATCTGAGGGCTTGACCCCTTCTTTCTGATGTCCTATGTGGTAGCTTGTTTTTTAAAGGCCTTTAATTAGAAAAAAGGGGAAAAGGCCTGGGAGGAAATGTGACTGGATGAACACCCCTGCCTGTGGGCCAAGAATAGAATAAGAGGATATGAGGCGAGGAGTGTTTAGATTTACCCTAAGGAAGACAGTCCTAATGGTATGTAACAATTTTTGGAAACTATGGATGGTTGAGGGAAATTATAAGAAACTCCTTCTCTGATGAACTTTGAAAATGGAACAGGTTCTCTTGTCTGGGATATTGCAATAAACAAGATGATTTTCAGAGTACTTTCTATGATTTTGACTTTATTTAAAAGATTCACAGATGGCAGAAT